ACAAGGACTAGACCGGGAGTAGACCGAGACTAGACTGAGACTAGACCGGGACCAAACCAGGACTAGACCAGGACTGATCCAGTGTCATTAGTGGAGTATAAATATATATACGCTCCAGTCGTCGAGTCGATTTCCTCCGCTGATGTTTTATGTCATAAAAACACTAAAGTCTCTCAGTCTGGTCTGACAATGTTTCGGGAAAAGAGCGGGACCGGGCTCTTGTTTCCAGGGCAACGGTCGGGGGCGTCTAAACTCAAATGCAAAGGCGTCCAAATAGAGGCGTCAGTGCGTTTTTTTGATGCTTTGGTGTGAACGGCCCTTTAAAGGACGATCGTTTTGACTGTTGACCGTGACACCTCATCAGAAAAATGTCCAACATGAGAAAAGTGGAGCCGAGTGCAGGATTTTACAACAAAAATTGACTTATTCCTATTTGCATACAAGTCAAAACATTGTGTTGAAATTGCATTTTTCTTAAAGTTTCAGGTTGTTCATAATATTATAATATTTTTGTAAAAGAAAGAGTTCATCAATTAAAAAAAGATTTCTGTAATAGATTTGTGTTTCTCTGCACAAATATTTGAACTTATTGATTATTTTTGGGGTTTATATGACATGAGTTTTTCTGATCCAGACACTTTGGGATCAAAGTCTGTTGAATATGGCCCCTGGACCAAAATGAGTTTGACACTCCTGATCTAGAGAGATGCAAATGTAAGAAGCAGTAACTTAAAAGTGAAAAAATGCAGAGCACATTCAACACTTTATTTATATTTTTTACTATTTAACTAAATTAAGACTAAAACCAGGACTAAACCAGGACTAAACTAGAACTAAACTAGAACTAAAAGCAGGACTCTAAAACCAGGACTAAACCGGACTAAACTAGGACTAAAACCAGGACTAAACCAGGACTAAACTCGGACTAAACTAGAACTAAAAGCAGGTCTAAAACCAGGACTAACCCAGGACTAAACCAGGACTAATCAGGACTAAACCAGGACTAAACCCAGGACTAAAACCAGGACTAAACTAGGACTAAAACTAAACGGACTAAACTAGAACTAAAAGCAGGTCTAAAACCAGGACTAAACCCGAACTAAACTAGGACTAAAACCAGGACTAAACCAGACTAAACTAGAACTAAAAGCAGGACTAAAACCAGGACTAAACTAGGGACTAAAACCAGGACTAAAAACCAGGTCTAAACCAGGACTAGGACTAAAACCAGGACTAAACCAGGACCTAAACCCAGGACTAAACCAGGTCTAAAACCAGGACTAAACCAGGACTAAACCAGGTCTAAACCAGGACTAAACCAGGACTAAACCAGGTCTAAACCAGGACTAAACCAGGACTAAACCAGGACTAAACCAGGACTACAAAGTTTCTACAAAGTGAAACCGACTGAATCAGACACTTTGGAGACTTTGTGTTGGTAAAATGTGCTATAAAAATAAAGTTGGATTGAAATGGTTGTTGGTTCAATCTTGCATTTATTTCTTTATGGGCGTTTATTTCTACAAACGCCAGAGAAAAGAAGCTTTCTTAAAAGTGGGAGCGACTGCGTGTGACTTGGCCTGGTGGTGTCGTCTGCTTGTTTCCATGGTGACAGATACGTTTAATGCACACACTGTGGAACAATCGAGGCCAAGCTGTTATAGAGGAACCAAATATATCTGCAAGTGTTGTTCAAATACACCTTGAATAACTTACATTCATATTGTGAGTGGGGTTTTTGCCACAGATCTGACCTGTAAAGTCACTTGATTGTCTCCACAGAGATACAGTCGTTTAAGGCCGTACAGTTATTGATAATGTCTTGACTGAAGATTCAAATGAAAAAAAAAACCAAAAAGAAAAAAAAAACGCCAAAGTCAAAGGTGTCAAACATATGGCCCAGGGGCTGGATCCGGCCCTCCAAGACCTTTAATCTGGCCCTCGGCTGATTTTCTACTAAAATCTTGTTAATTTTCTGTGGTGTTTATCACAGCAGCGTCTCCAGCATCTCTGTACGTGGCCCCTCCCACCAGAGCAGCACAAATGAAGACTTGTCTCTTTCCAAACGCTCGAAAGGGCCGTTCACACCGAGGCGTCAAAGCGTCCACTTTCAATGTAAAGTCGATGTGGACGCGCGACTAGAGCGTCCTGCGTTTTTGCGGCGCGCTTTCGGCGTCAGCGCGGTGCAAATCTGGTGTCGACGCGGCGTGTTTTGAGCGTTTTGGCATCAGCGGTCTAGACGCGCGTCCAAGGCGTCAGCGTCAAGAAGTTGAAAATGCTGAACTTTTCGCGTCAGAAGCGGCGCGTCAACCAATCAGGGACGAGTATCCAGAGACGCAGCGACGTTATTATCAGGAAGAAAAAACCCAGAACCAGAACGAGAACCACAAACATGAGCGGAGAATAAATATATACACCACAATCACCGAGCAGATCGCGAGGACTACACCAGGACCGGACCAGGACTAAACCAGGACTAGACTGGGACTAAACAAGGACTAGACCGGGAGTAGACCGAGACTAGACCGAGACTAGACCGGGACCAAACCAGGACTAGACCAGGACTGATCCAGTGTCATTAGTGGAGTATAAATATATATCCGCTCCAGTCGTCGAGTCGATTTCCTCCGCTGATGTTTTATGTCATAAAAACACTAAAGTCTCTCAGTCTGGTCTGACAATGTTTCGGGAAAAGAGTGGGACCGGGCTCTTGTTTCCAGGGCAACGGTCGGGGGCGTCTAAACTCAAATGCAAAGGCGTCCAAATAGAGGCGTCAGTGCGTTTTTTTGATGCTTTGGTGTGAACGGCCCTTTAAAGGACGATCGTTTTTGACTGTTGACCGTGACACCTCATCAGAAAAATGTCCAACATGAGAAAAGTGGAGCCGAGTGCAGGATTTTACAAGAAAAATTGACTTATTCCTGTTTACATACAAGTCAAAACATTGTGTTGAAATAGCATTTTTCTTAAAGTTTCAGGTTGTTCATAATATTATAATATTTTGTAAAAGAAAGAGTTCATCAATTAAAAAAGATTTCTGTAATAGATTTGTGTTTCTCTGCACAAATATTTGAACTTATTGATATTTTTGGGGTTTATATGACATGAGTTTTCTGATCCAGACACTTTGGGATCAAAGTCTGTTGAATATGGCCCCTGGACCAAAATGAGTTTGACACTCCTGATCTAGAGAGATGCAAATGTAAGAAGCAGTAACTTAAAAGTGAAAAAATGCAGAGCACACTCAACACTTTATTTATATTTTTTACTATTTTTTACTATTTAACTAAATTAAGACTAAAACCAGGACTAAACCAGGACTAAACTAGAACTAAACTAGAACTAAAAGCAGGTCTAAAACCAGGACTAAAGCCGGACTAAACTAGGACTAAAACCAGGACTAAACCAGGACTAAACCAGGACTAAACTCGGACTAAACTAGAACTAAAAGCAGGTCTAAAACCAGGACTAAACCAGGACTAAACCAGGACTAAACTAAACAGGACTAAACCAGGACTAAAACCCAGGACTAAACCAGGACTAAACCAGGACTAAACTCGGACTAAACTAGAACTAAAAGCAGGTCTAAAACCAGGACTAAACCCGGACTAAACTAAACTAGGACTAAAACCAGGACTAAACCCAGACTAAACTAGAACTAAAAGCAGGACTAAAACCCAGACTAAACTAGGACTAAAACCAGGACTAAAACCAGGTCTAAAACCAGGACTAAACCCGGACTAAAATAGGACTAAAACTTTAACTTAAAAGTGAAAACTGCAGAGCACACTCAACACTTTATTTATATTTTTTACTGTGCAGTTTTTCACTTCTGCGTTTACGTTCTAGAACATCTGCATACAGACAGTCCAGCAGCAGCCGGTAAAGTTCCACAGTGCCTCTTTACTAACTCACCGATGTCGTCGTCGTTGCGGTCCTGCGGGTCTTTCTCCAGACACTCCCGCACCAGGTCGCGTCCCACCAGAGCGTCCGAGGNCAGGACTAAACTAGACTAAACTAAACTAGGACTAAAACCAGGACTAAACTAGGACTAAAACCAGGACTAGACTAAACTAGGACTAAAACCAGGACTAAACTCGGACTAAACTAGAACTAAAAGCAGGTCTAAAACCAGGACTAAACCCGGACTAAACTAGAACTAAACTAGGACTAAAACCAGGACTAAACTAGAACTAAACTAGGACTAAAACCAGGACTAAACTAGAACTAAACTAGGACTAAAACCAGGACTAAACTAGGACTAAAACCAGGACTAGACTAGGACTAAAACCAGGACTAAACTCAGACTAAACTAGAACTAAAAGCAGGTCTAAAACCAGGACTAAACCCGGACTAAAACCAGGACTAAACCAGAACTAAAAGCAGGACTAAAACCAGGACTAAACCAGGACTAAACTAGAACTAAACTAGGACTAAAACCAGGACTAAACCAGAACTAAAACCAGGACTAAACCAGAACTAAAAGCAGGACTAAAACCAGGACTAAACCAGGACTAAACTAGAACTAAACTAGAACTAAAAGCAGGTCTAAAACCAGGACTAAACCCGGACTAAACTAGGACTAAAACCAGGACTAAACCAGGACTAAACTCGTACTAAACTAGAACTAAAAGCAGGTCTACAACCAGGACTAAACCCGGACTAAACTAGGACTAAAACCAGGACTAAACCAAGATTAAACCCGAACTAAACTAGGACTAAAACCAGGACTAAACCAGGACTAAACTAGAACTAAAAGCAGGTCTAAAACTAGGACTAAAACCAGGTCTAAAACCAGGACTAAACCCGGACTAAAATAGGACTAAAACTTTAACTTAAAAGTGAAAAATGCAGAGCACACTCAACACTTTATTTATATTTATTTATTTATATGTTTTACTGTGCAGTTTTTCACTTTTGCGTTTACGTTCTAGAACATCTGCATACAGACAGTCCAGCAGCAGCCGGTAAAGTTCCACAGTGCCTCTTTACTAACTCACCGATGTCGTCGTCGTTGCGGTCCTGCGGGTCTTTCTCCAGACACTCCCGCACCAGGTCGCGTCCCACCAGAGCGTCCGAGGCCCTCTCCAGGTCTTCATCCTCCTCCTCCTCTTCCTCCGAGTCCACGGCGGCTTCAGGGAGTCCGGACAGATCCACGTCCCCCAGGTCGCTCTCCGTCGCCTGGACACACACACAGCACAGGTCAGAGTCTGGACCAAAACCAGGTCTAAACCAGGACTAAACCAGGACTAAACCAGAGCACACAGGTCAGAGTCTGGACCAAAACCAGGTCTAAACCAGGACTAAACCTGGACTAAAACCAGGACTAAACCAGGACTAAACCAGAGCACACAGGTCAGAGTCTGGACCAAAACCAGGTCTAAACCAGGACTAAACCTGGACTAAACCAGGACTAAACCAGAGCACACAGGTCAGAGTCTGGACCAAAACCAGGTCTAAACCAGGACTAAACCAGGTCTAAACCAGGACTAAACCAGGTCTAAACCAGGACTAAACCAGGTCTAAACCAGGACTAAACCAGAGCACACAGGTCAGAGTCTGGACCAAAACCAGGTCTAAACCAGGACTAAACCAGGTCTAAACCAGGACTAAACCTGGACTAAACTAGAAATAAACCAGGACTAAAACCAGGACAAAACAAGGACTAAACCAGGACTAAAACCAGGACAAAACAAGGACTAAACCAGGACTAAACCAGAGCACACAGGTCAGAGTCTGGACCAAAACCAGGTCTAAACCAGGACTAAACCTGGACTAAACCAGGACTAAACCAGGACTAAACCTGGACCAAAACCAGGTCTAAACCAGGACTAAACCAGAGCACACAGGGGTCAGAGTCTGGACCAAAACCAGGTCTAAACCAGGACTAAACCAGAGCACACAGGTCAGAGTCTGGACCAAAACCAGGTCTAAACCAGGACTAAACCTGGACTAAAACCAGGACTAAACCAGGACTAAACCAGGACTAAACCTGGACCAAAACCAGGACTAAACCAGGACTAAACCAGAGCACACAGGTCAGAGTCTGGACTGTGATGTGGGGATTGGATTACAGTTACTTTGTTGAAATAAATGGATTACACGGCGGGATTTTCCTGTTTTCACATTTTGGGCTAAACCAGGACTAAAACCAGGACTAAAACCAGGACTAAAACAGGACAAAACAGGACTAAACTAGACTAAACTAGGACTAAATAGGACTAACCTGGACTAAACTAGGACTAAACCAGGACTAAAACCAGGACTAAAACCAGGACTAAACCAGGACTAAAACCAGGACTAAAACCAGACTAACCAGGACTACACTAGGACTAAAACAAGACTAAAACAGGTCTGAACTGGGACTAAACCAGGACTAAAACCAGGACTAAACTAGGACTAAAACCAGGACTAAACCAGGACTAAAACAGGACTAAAACAGACTAAAACTGGACTGAACCAGGACTAAACCAGGACTAAACCAGGACTAAACCAGGACTAAACTAGGACTAAAACCAGGACTAAACCAGGACTAAACTAGGACTAAACCAGGACTAAAACCAGGACTAAACCAGGACTAAACCAGGACTAAAACCAGGACTAAACCAGGACTAAACTAGGACTAAAACCAGGACTAAACCAGGACTAAACTAGGACTAAAACCAGGACTAAAACCAGGACTAAACCAGGACTAAACTAGGACTAAACCAGGACTAAACCAGGACTAAACCAGGACTAAACCAGGACTAAAACCAGGACTAAACCAGGTTTAGACCTGGTTGAGATCTAGTTTAGACTTGGTTTAGTTTCCGGCAATGAGTGGAATTACCCAAAATAGCCCAAAATGTGAAAACAGTAAAATCCCGCCGTGTAATCCATTTATTTCAACAAAGTAACTGTAATCCAATTACCACTCACTGAAACAGTAACTGTAACTGAATACAGTTACTCATCATTTGTACTCTGATTACATAACTCCAGTACTTGTAATCTGTTACTCCCGACACTGTCGGTTCTACAGCAGAGTTGACAAACGTGTCGAGTTGGATTAAGACAGTTTCTCTTCTCTTTATCCAGGAGTTTTGGCTCTGTGGAGTTTTTCTACAGTCACACACAAACACGACACACGTTCTTCTCCGTGTTCTTCTCCGAGCCAAATCCCACACGACCGAGAACAGGTTCAGAGGAGGACGCGGCGTACGTCAGACGAACATCTCCAAACTCACAGGGACGGCACATCCCACACAGCTGTCACCACATGCACCAGGAAATCAGACACGAGGCAGCGAGGACAGAGAGAAGATATGAACAAGACAGAGAGAAGATATGAACAAGAGACAGAGAGAAGATATGAACAAGACAGAGAGAAGATATGAACAAGAGAGAGAAGATATGAACAAGAGAGAGAAGATATGAACAAGAGACAGAGAGAAGATATGAACAAGAGACAGAGAGAAGATATGAACAAGAGACAGAGAGAAGATATGAACAAGAGACAGAGAGAAGATATGAACAAGAGACAGAGAGAAGATATGAACAAGAGAGAGAGAAGATATGAACAAGAGAGAGAAGATCAAGATATGATATGAACAAGAGACAAGAGAGAGAAGATATGAACAAGAGACAGAGAGACAAGAGAGAGAAGATATGAACAAGAGACAGAGAGAAGATATGAACAAGAGAGAGCAAGAGACAGAGAGAAGATATGAACAAGAGAGAGAAGATATGAACAAGAGACAGAGAGAAGATATGAACAAGAGACAGAGAGAAGATATGAACAAGAGAGAGAGAAGATATGAACAAGAGACAGAGAGAAGATATGAACAAGAGACAGAGAGAGAGAAGATATGAACAAGAACAAGAGACAGAGAGAGAAGATATGAACAAGAGACAGAGAGAAGAATGAACATGAACAAGAGACAGAGAGAAGATATGAACAAGAGACAGAGAGAGAAGATATGAACAAGAGACAAGAGACAAGAGAGAGAGAAGATATGAACAAGAGACAGAGAGAAGATATGAACAAGAGACAGAGAGAAGATATGAACATATGAACAAGAGACAGAGAGAAGATATGAACAAGAGACAGAGAGAAGATATGAACAAGAGACAGAGAAAGATATGAACAAGACAGAGAGAAGATATGAACAAGAGACAGAGAGAAGATATGAACAAGAGACAGAGAGAAGATATGAACAAGAGAGAGAGAAGATATGAACAAGAGACAGAGAGAAGATATGAACAAGAGACAGAGAGAAGATATGAACAAGAGACAGAGAGAACAGAGAGAAGATATGAACAAGAGACAAGAGAGAAGATATGAACAAGAGACAGAGAGAAGATATGAACAAGAGACAGAGTATGAACAAGAGACAAGAGAGATATTTAAAAATGTAATCCCAACAGAGATATGAACAGATTGAACAAGATTACATACCCCAAAATGTAGTTTGTAACGTAATCTATTAAATTATTTAAAGTGAGTAATGTAATCTGAATACTTTGGATTACTTGATTTGCTGTAGAGAAACAAAGACGAGGAAATCTTCACATAAGATGTTTTGTCTGAGAAAAAGAAAATAAAAAGCTCAAACTTTACTGAAGCAAATTAAAAATAGTATTGATAGAAGAAGTTTAAAGTTTAAATCCTGTTTGAGACATAGTTTAGACCTGGTTTAGTCCTGGTTTAGTCCTGGTTTAGTCCTGGTTTAGTCCTAGTTTAGTCCTAGTTTAGACCTGGTCTTAGACCTGGTTTAGACCTTGTTTAGACCTGGTTTTGACCTGGTTTAGACCTGGGTTTAGTCCTGGTTTAGTCCTGGTTTAGACCTGGTTTAGATCTGGTTTAGATCTGGTTTAGACCTGGTTTAGACCTGGGTTTAGTCCTGGTTTAGACCTGGTTTAGTCCTGGTTTAGACCTGGTTTAGACCTGGTTTAGTCCTGGTTTAGACCTGGGTTTAGACCTGGTTTAGTCCTGGTTTAGACCTGGTTTAGACCTGGTTTAGTCCTGGTTTAGACCTGGTTTAGACCTGGTTTAGTCCTGGTTTTAGACCTGATTTAGACCTGGTTTAGTCCTGGTTTAGACCTGGTTTAGACCTGGTTTAGACCTGGTTTAGACCTGGTTTAGACCTGGTTTAGTGTCTGACAATGAGTGGAATTTCAGAAAAAAAAGAAAAAAGGGATTTAGCCCAAAATATGAAAACAGGAAAATCCCTCTGTGTAATCCATTTATTTCAACAAAGTAACTGTAATCCAATTACCACTCACTGAAACAGTAACTGTAACTGAATACAGTTACTCATCATTTGTACTCTGATTACATTACTCTGGTACATGTAATCTGTTACTCCCTGACACTGTGTACAGGTGACTGTGTGGGAAAAGGAAACGGAGAGAGAAAAAAGACGAGAGGCTGAAGAGAGACGATGGAAGAGACAGAAGAGGAACAGTGTCTAATGAGCAGATGAGAGGACAGAGAGAGACAGAAAAAGGAAGAAAAAGGCAAAAACTAAAGAAGGAGGAGGACGAGAAGAAAGTAGAAGGAACTCAGAAGTGAAGGAAACTCATCTTTACGACCCAATATCACAAAAAAAATCTGACTCTCATGAGGTTTAAGCCACGTTCTAATGTTGTTATCTCCTTAAAAACAGACCTGGACTTGTGTTTGAGTTAGGGATGGGCATGATTAGTCGATTAATCGATAACTGATCATTAAGAATTTCATTAAGTTCATTTTAATCGACAAACCGAATGTAGGTTTCTGTGTGTGTCGTGACCAAACAGGTGTGTACATGTGTCTCTGCATCAGAAGGAGCGAGACACAAACAGTGGGTCAGTCTGTAACGAACCGAAGCACAAATGTGGATTTAACCAGGATTTGGACAAGAAATTCCACACTTTCCGTTGCGTTGGGACAAGTGTGAGTCCATGTGCACAGTGTAGAGAGAAGAGACATGAGAGACAGAGAGAAACTTTCCTGAAGTCACTGGATGGATGGACAAAGTCTGGACTTCAGTGACATCGAAACCATCCTGTCGGGATTCAGAAAGACCCGAATAATTGTAACTGGAATTGATGCCGAGTCTGACGACAGCGACACAGAAGAGGAAGTGTCGCTCTGTTTACCTCCGGAGGTCGTGGAGTTGCTCAGAAGTGACACCGAGGATGAAGAATTGAATGGATTTAGTGATTTGGAGTGAGATGGAGAGTTTGGTTAAACTTGTTCTGTTGTTTATGTTACAGTTTATCTGAAGAACTGTTCATCTGTGACGTTAACAGTCTGTTGTTCTCTCTTCTATTGTTACTGGGTCTGGTCAAGTGGTAACGGAGGGAAACAGGGGCAGATTTTTGACATTCAAATGTCTCTTATTCAGAAACTAGAGGAACTATTGAAATAAGTAAAGTATCAGAATGTAGGAAAGAGTTACACTCCAACAGGGTCAAGTTAAACCTGTGAGATTCTTTCAAGTTGTTGACAAAAAATTTAAAAACTCATGTCGGTAACGGAGGGAATGAAATATGCAGCACTTTTTGGGCAATAAATCCAAACAGTGATAACTCTTGGTTCTCACTTACATATCCTTAACAAACTGGTTTGAATATTTGCTTCATATAGTTTTCTACCATATGGTACAAGATTAGGTTGAAAAACCTCTGACTTTTTGAGTCATGAGATTTTTTATTAAGAAAGGTCATGGTAACGGAGGGAAAAGTAACGGAGGGAAAATTGTTCAAACAAGTAGAAGGTGCAGGATTTTACATCATTTGTCTCTTTTTTCTTCTGAATATTTTAATATTACTTCAAAATGAAAGAAACTATTTCTATAAAATATGTCAGTCCTTCCAAGCAAATTTTTATCATTTTAAATACTTTTTTTTTTTTTATCCTGTCCCTTCATCAACAGTTCAAAGATGGAATAACACAAGATATGATGAAATACATCCATTTATTTACATGATTTTCAGGTCTTTGAAATTTGGGAAATAATTTTTGTTCCATGTTTCATACATGGTCTGTTTAAAACATATGGAACTTTAGAACCAAAAATGGTCCAGAAAAAAGGTCAACAGTTTCATAAACTAGAGTACATATGTATCTGTTCAATACATTTTTATATCAGATGCATTAACTTGTATTTTTGGCCTTGTTGTTTACTTCTGCTTGACTGGGCCCTATTACTAGAACTTGAATTTCAATAGGAAATGTCAGTTCCTGGTCACTCATTTTAATAAATTTCCTCCAAATTTCCCCCAAAAAGTGCGACTTATATATGTTTTTTTCTTCTTCATAATGCATTTTTTGGCTGGTGCGACTTATAGTCCAAAAAACATGGTATTTGATTTTCACTTCTTTTGCTAACCCCACAGATTATCCAGTGATCATCAGGTTTTGATCAACCGAGTGAGTTTGAAATCCTCGACGTGTTCATTTGTAACACGCTGTCTCTTTTGACGCGCCTCTGGTCTATTCGCGTCCTAACAGCAGACACACCTGAGGCACAGGTAGCTCCGGGCTCTTAAAGGTCACGCTCATTTCCTGGATGTGACCTTTACAGGAGGCACAGCGGGAAAAGAGGGAGACTGAAGAACCACGACGGGAACAAACACTGCGCACTGTAACGCTCAAGTCACTGCAACGGACGAATATAGAAAACTTTGGTAGACTAAAGACACGTGCTCAACCAAACTGCACTCAACACTCGAGATAGACCAATGTATTTGTAATTTAGACGTTTTTTTTATCTGGTATTGGACTTAAGTCTCCAGCAAATGCCAATATTTTGCTTTGGTCGATCTGCTACTTAAAAAATACACACAAAGCTTCATTTGAACTAGGGATGGGCATGATTAGTCGATTAATCGATAACTGAACATTAAGAATTTCATCGATTATGTTAATTTTAATCGACAAACTGAATGTATGTTGCTGTGTGTGTCGTGACCAAACAGGTGTGTACATGTGTCTCTGCATCAGAAGGAGCGAGACACAAACAGTGGGTCAGTCTGTAACGAACCGAAGCACAAATGTGGATTTAACGATGATTTGTACAAGAAATTCCACACTTTCCGTTGCGTTGGGACAAGTGTGAGTCCATGTGCACAGTGTATAAAGCAGCACATATGTTTCTGTGTCCAGTGAGTTTCTGTGAGACTTGTGAAAAACTGAATTAAACACATTATAATGTCAAACGGGCTGATGTGGCTCGAGAGTCGTTACGGTTTATATGTCGTAAAGTTGAATTTATTTATGCAGATTAGTGCAGATAGTGATAATAATGATGATCATTTTAATATAAAAACGTTAATGATTAATCGATAACTGAACGTTAATTCTTCTGACAATCGATTAGGAAAATTTCATCGAATGCCCGTCCCTAGTTTGAACACTTTAATATGAAGATATAACTGCTCACAACACGACTACACAGCTCTCTTATAGCATTGTGGTAAAAAGGGCTGTGGGTGAGTTTGTAGTAAATTTAAATTGCATCATTTGGGGGAAATTTGTGTTTATTGTCTTTGCCTCAAGTGGAGGAGTTCAAGTATCTCGGGGTCTTGTTCACTGAGTGAGGGGAGGATGGAGTGGGAGATTGACAGGCGGATCGGTGCAGCGTTCTGCAGTGATGCGGTCGCTGTATCGGACCGTTGTGGTGAAGAGGAGCTGAGCCGAAAGGCAAAGCTCTCGATTTACCCGTCAGTCTTCGTTCCTACTCTCACCTCTGGTCATGAGCTCTGGGTAGTGACCGAAAGGACGAGATCGCGGATACAAGCGCTTGAAATGAGTTTCCTCCGTAGGGTGGCTGGGCGCTCCCTTAGAGATAGGGTGAGGAGCTCAGTCACACGGGAGGAGCTCGGAGTAGAGCCGCTGCTCCTCCACGTCGAGAGGAGCCAGTTGAGGCTCGGGCATCTGTTCCGGATGCCTCCTGGACGTCTCCCTCGGGAGGTGTTCTGGGCATGTCCCACCGGGAGGAAGACCCAGGACACACTGAAGGGACTATGTCTCTGGACTGGCCTGGGAACACCTCGGGGTCCACCCAGAGGAGCTGGAGGACGTGTCTGGGGTGAAGGAAGTTTGGGAGTCCCTGGTTAGACTGCTGCCTCCGCGACCCGGCCCCGGATAGAAAATGGATGGATGGATGGATGCGTTTATTCTGCCTCTATTCATAGACACAATACTAAATCTTCAGCTCACTGACTCTATAACGTCGTCTTTCTGCTGTTGTCCCGTAGACATAGAATAAAAGATTTAAATGACGAATACAAATTTTGGTCAACTAAGACACTATCAACTAAAGGACTAAAGGCCCAAAGCCCTAGAATTCAGGTTAAACATTGAGATTTTGCTGAATTCTGCCCAAAGCAGTGGTTCTGGTGCTTTCATTCCAGATCTGCCAAATGCAAAACTTGACTGGATTTGAAGCCTCACCTGGTAAATGTCGGACAGGCTGCTGCTCCCGGAGTCACTGGCGATGCTGCATCCTGATTGGCTCTGGGTGACCTGGTGGGCGTGGTCCGTGAGCTGCATCTTATTTAGGTCGGCAGGAAGCTGCGGAGAGACAGAGAGAGACAGACCGGTGAGACAGGACCAAGTGCAAAGGGTTTAAACCACAAGACAGAGCAAATTTTATGAGTAGTGCTGTGGTCAGGCTCTGTGAACGTTTGACCCTTAAGAAACACAAAACACACACACAATGAAATGAGAGAGTGAAAACGCACTGCTTCAACAAATAAAACGTCAATCTTAACCTTCAAGCCATAAAATCACAGAGAATTTGAACAGGAGGAGACTGGAGGACTAAAGGGCAGAGTGAGGGGTTCGGTCTGGACGACTAAACAGTATCCACACTTCAAACTTTGCCCCTGTAACCTGGGCAGTCCTGCGTGATGTCATGTAGTACCTGAAACTGCAGAGGCCACTGAAAGCAGCAGATTTTTGACCAGAAAACTGTAAATGTTACAGAGGACTGCAACAAACAAAAGGAATACTACACCATGCGAAACAAAAAGGGGAAAAGGAGGGACATCTGACTATATCTGATCAGGATTGGGAAGACGTCTGCGAGATACAATGGAAAACTTCTAACTCAATTATTTGGAGAGAGTTTTGTTGGAAGAATTTGGTCAGGTTCTTTAAAACACCAGTCCAGGAAAGACACTACACCAAATCATCAAACTGTTGGAGGCGACGCGGTGAACTGGAGGCAAATCATTGCCATTTATTTTGGACGTGTCCTCATATTGTTCTGTTTTGGAGAGAAATTCACAAATCATTAGTAACTGTGTTCTGTATTGACACACCGTTTCGACTTGAAACAATGTACTTGGGTTTCCTGATGGGTGAAAATGTGACTTATAAAGCTAAATACCTGTTCCAGATTTTGAGTGCGGCTGCTAAGAAAACTATAACCAGGAAATGGCTTAATCCACAAATACCAACACTGGATGAACGGTTTGGGATTGTTTATGATATTTTTAAGATGGAGAGAATGACTTTTAGCATGAGACTACAACAAGACAAATTTGAAAGCAAATGGAAACGGTGGATTGATTATATAAAAACTGTGAAATCGGACTTTGTTTGACCCATTACTTTGTTTTTCTTGTAAGTGGCTGTAAAAATTATTGTTCATTATTATTATATATATATATATATTTTTTTTCTTTTAATTAATACATCCTTTGTGGACATCAAGGCACACCCGCAGGTTGTATTGTATTTGTCTGTTCATACAACATTAAAAAAGAAAAATAAAGAATTATAAAAAAAAAAAAAAGAAAACTGTAAATGTTTCTAATTTGTACTAAAATTGCCAAAACAGTAGGACAATAGGAAACAATAGAAACAGTAGACAAAAGGGATGTGCAAAAATATTGAAATATCAATATGTCGTATAGTATTTTTTGGTATATTTTACTAAATTATTTTGTGAAAAAGCTACAATTGTGTTCCTTGTTTGGAGAAATGAAACTCAGTGCAATACATTTTACTGATGAGTAAAATTCATGTTTTTTTACACAAACATAGTGGTTTAATGACTTTTATTATCAAAGCCATGAAGTTTGAAATATATATCGTATCAAACTGTATTGAATCGGAGGTGCACTGTATCGAAAACCGTATCGTATCGAGGTATGTATCATATCGACGTCGTCATGATACCCAATGCTATGTAAATACCACATACACAGGTTAGTACCAAAAAAAAAAAAAGTGGATTTACAATATCATTACGACAACAAGCAGTCTCAAAACACAGCTCCTTTCTAACAGATTCCTCTCAAATCCTTTTAAAATTCATTGTATTTCTGTATTTCAAAGCCAAAATCTCTCACCCGTCTGGGCCGACTAAAACAGGTTTAAACCAGGACTGAACCAGGACTGAACCAGGACTAAAACAGGTTTAAACCAGGACTGAACCAGGACTTAGTGTTGGGACGGGCCCAGCGGTGCGCTCACGTAGACTTTCGGGTGATCAGGACTGAGACCGACTTAGTCCTGGTTTAGTCCTGTTTTAAACCTGGTTCAGTCCTGGTTCAGTCTGGATTCGGCACAAAAGTCCGGCATTGCAGCTTAAGTCAAAGAAATGTGAAACGGCCATTATCCATTTGTTCCAGAAGGAAAGAAAATATTTTCTTATTTTTGGTTTTATTTTGACAGAGGACACGCAGTTTGAACTCTGGAGGTTATTATAAAATATATCTGTACTGGGGCAGGACAAACTTTTATTTCATGTGGATTGACCCAGTAATTATAGAGAAATGAACCATAAACCAGGTCAACACATTTACATTTTTACAACTAAAAGTCAAATTTTACCATAAAATTTAGGCCAGACTGCTCCAGATATATTTTGAAACTAATAATAACGTGACGTCTTTTGAACTCCATAGATCACAGGTGTCAAACACACGGCCCAGGGGCCAGATCCGGCCCTCCAAGGCCTTTAATCTGGCCCTTGTCTGATTTTCTACTAAAATATTTTAATTATATTTTCTATTAAAATATTGTTGTTGTTTTTTTGTTTGTTTTTTTATAATTTGTAATTTATTCAGTGCTTTTTGTCCACATAAATCATAATATACATGCTCTATTTTTTATTTATTTTTCCCCCCCCACACATAAACTCCAAAAAAAAAAAAAAAAAAAAAAAAAAAAAAAAAAAACTACTGAAATCCTGAAAATGTGTACTCGGTACAAATGTATATTCTAAAATGTACTGTATTAATTTGTAACCCGGCTTCCCATTCTCCTCATGACTAAAACCAGGTCTAAACCAGGATTAAATCAGGTCTAAACACAGGACTAAAACACAGGTCTAAACCAAAACCAGATCTCATAAAACCAGGATTAAATCAGGTCTTAATTTCAAACCAGGATTAAATCAGGTCTAAACCAGGATTAAATCAGGTCTAAACCAGGATTAAAACCAGGTCTAAAACCAGGTCTAAACCGGGGGGGGGGTCTTCCCATTCTCCTCATGAATTCACAACGAAGCATGAAATATGAATACGAGTCCCTCCTTCAGCTGTTCAGGTCCATCAGGTCGAAACCACGGGGAGCATCAAAACAACCGGCTTTGAGAAAACGGAAACGGACAATTACCAAATCTCCAAGGCGACAGTTGTGCAGGCGGCAGACAGGTTCAACCCAGAAACACTGAAGGACGCGACGAATGGACACGACACATTTCCACTTCAGAAACTTTGGCCACAACCACGTTTTAAATAAAGCTGCTAAACTGGACAGGACCTGGACCAGATCCTCACGATCGACTGAAACATCAGCAGCTGTTCTTCCTGGGCTCACCTCAGATTCATGACGGACAAATCGTTATATAACAGAAAAACTTCACACACAGACACAGAATCAGGTCTAAACCAGGTCTAAACCAGGTCTAAACCAGGTCTAAACCAGGTCTAAACCAGGTCTAAACCAGGACTAAACCAGGTCTAAACCAGGTCTAAAACCAGGTCTAAACCAGGACTAAACCAGGACTAAACCAGGTCTAAACCAGGTCTAAACCAGGACTAAACCAGGTCTAAACCAGGTAAACCAGGACTAAACCAGGTCTAAACCAGGTCTAAAACCAGGTAAACCAGGTCTAAACCAGGACTAAACCAGGACTAAACCAGGTCTAAACCAGGTCTAAACCAGGACTAAAACCAGGTCTAAACCAGGTCTAAACCAGGATAAACCAGGACTAAACCAGGTCTAAACCAGGACTAAACCCAGGTCTAAACCAGGTCTAAACCAGGTCTAAACCAGGTCTAAACCAGGTCTAAACCAGGACTAAACCAGGACTAAACCAGGTCTAAACCAGGACTAAACCAGGTCTAAACCAGGACTAAACCAGGTCTAAACCAGGACTAAACCAGGACTAAACCAGGTCTAAAACCAGGACTAAACCAGGTCTAAACCAGGTAAACCAGGTCTAAACCAGGTCTAAACCAGGTCTAAACCAGGTCTAAACCAGGACTAAACCAGGACTAAACCAGGAAACTAAAACCAGGTCTAAACCAGGACTCTAAACCAGGTCTAAACCAGGACTAAACCAGGTCTACTAAACCAGGTCTAAACCAGGTCTAAACCAGGTCTAAACCAGGTCTAAACCAGGTAAACCAGGTCTAAACCAGGTCTAAACCAGGTCTAAACTAAACCAGGACTAAACCAGGACTAAACCAGGACTCTAAACCAGGTCTAAAACCAGGTCTAAACCAGGTCTAAACCAGGACTAAAACCAGGTCTAAACCAGGTCTAAACTAAACCAGGTCTAAAACAGGTCTAAACCAGGTCTAAAACAGGTCTAAACCAGGTCTAAATCAGGTCTAAACCAGGTCTAAACCAGGACTAAACCAGGACTAAACCAGGACTAAATCAGGTCTTAAACAGGTCTAAACCAAGTCTAAACCAGGTCTAAACCAGGACTAAACCAGGTCTAAACCAGGTCTAAAATCAGGTCTAAACCAGGACTAAACCAGGACTAAACCCAGGACTAAATCAGGTCTAAATCAGGTCTAAACCAGGACTAAACCAGGACTAAAACCAGGACTAAAACCAGGTCTAAACCAGGACTAAAACCAGGTCTAAATCAGGACTAAACCAGGACTAAACCAGGACTAAACCAGGTCTAAACCAGGTCTAAACCAGGACTAAACCAGGTCTAAAACCAGGTCTAAACCAGGTCTAAACCAGGTCTAAAACCAGGTCTAAAACAGGATTTAACAGGACCCAACTCTGCATATAAAGTGGTGTCATCTGCATATACGGCCATGTTCTGTGCGATGTCACATAGTACTTGAACTTGCAGAGGCCACTGAAGGCAGCACACGTTTACACATCGGCGTTTTAGTCCAGGAAGCTGCTCATTTGCATTAACGTCGCCGTAAATGACGAGGGACAGAAGTGGATTTAGTTTTCGGTTCCACTTCAAGTTTACAAATTCAACAGCGGTCGTTTTCCGCGGTTTTAACAGCACGTCTAACTTATTATTCTTTTGGACCTCATTTGCATATTGTGTAGACGGTCCATCTGAATTCCCTTCATCA